AAAAAAAAAGGAATCATTCACTTAATTATTCTATTAAAATTACTAATTTTATTCTATAAATTCAATCGAGACAGTTTTATTTATATTTAATGGCTTTAAAAAAAAGTCTGTTTCTCTACGAATTGCGAGTAGTGGTGGCCAGTCAACAGACCAAGGCCAGGCCCAGCCCGGCCCGCCGGGTCACGGGCCCTCTAACACATAGCCTGCAATCGGCCCGCTAAAAACTAAGGGTCGGTTCACAGGTTGGGGCGGCCCTTAAAAAACAAAAAATTTTAACAATGTGGCTCGTCGTCTGACCCGACCTAGCCCGGACCGACAAGACCAAAATTTAAAAAAATAGAACCGGGATTGAACCGCGACCCTATGGGTCCGGTTCAACGAACCGGCCTTTAGGATTCCCGGTTCGTGCCGGGCCGGTGCCGGTTCGCGGGATGTCTTATTTGTGGGTGCCATAATTGTAATTGTAGGACCAGATAGATTCTGAAAGTCACGAGCCTAAACATATAAATCATCATGATTAGCAAGAAAATGAAGTATGAAAGTAAAAGGCCTCGAATAACGAGACAAAATTTAAGATTGGGTCAGAATTGGGTCAGAATTGGGCCATCGTTAACTGGCCTTCCTGTGTTTCCTCATTCGTACGCCCAAATAATTACTCACCCCCTCTTAATTGTATTTACGATTATATCCTTCCAAGTATTTTGACCATAAATAAACATTGACCTCATCATTATTGTTTTATTATTAAAAGAAAAATAATTGGTTATAATTTCTAAATGATGAAAGTTTGTTGCTAGGCTGGAGTACAATAAAATGGTTATATTTTCTAACAGATACCCAAAACTGTTCGATTGGGCTGCTCTGAGTGCCCGAACTACCCTTTCGTACTACTCGAGTGCTCAAATTGTTAATTTCTGTTAGTCCACGTGGTCATATGCACGTGTTCTTCTTATCTTAATTATATTTCTTATCTATTATGTGATGAGTTCATATTAGTCTACATCATTAGGTAACCTAATTGTGTAATTAGCTCAACTTCTCTTGAACCAAGTCGCTCTCACTTTCAACGAGTAAGTTTATCTATTAGGTCTTACATCGACCTATAAGCCTCCAGGTTGAGTTTTTGGCAGACTAGTCGAGAGGCCTAACTCGACCAGTTGCCATGCTACTTTGTGTTGACTAAATTTTTTAATCTTTCGCATTTATTTATTTTGCTGAGTGCTTAGAATTTCAACTTTATGTGAAAATCAATAATTTTTTGGTACTTCAAATTCTAACAATGTTTTACGTCTCCATTAATGGCTCAATTTAATCATTTATTTCCCTTTCAACGAAAATTATTTTTGAAAAAATAAATATACCACAAGTATCTACTCCAAACGAAGAATTTTTATACTTAATTTAATTCAATACGAATTAAATATTTATCCATAAATAATCCATCTTTAAAAATCATTTTTCTAATAAAAACAACAAATGGCTCTTT